AAACCCTAAGGGGTAGCGAATTGTTCGAACTCTCGAACAATTTTGTGCTAAGGCATAACAAAGCAAAGGATTTTGATAACACCAATCCTCGAAAAACCTAATGGGTACAAATTTATCTCGTGGCATGACAAATTTTTATGATTAATTTTTCAAGCCGAAAATGGGGAAAAGCCATTCTTTTGAGGCCATATCGGCCTAATTCAAGAGCCTAAGGGCGATTTTATTTTTTGAGTTCGAGAAATCATCCTTACTCAACTAAAACATAAGGGTCACTCTACTTCAAGTTCGAGAAAGTACTCACTCGATTTTAAAGATTACACTGGTCCGACTTCGGTCTAGTTACCTAAAGTCCCAAACTTGTGAGTAAAATCTCCATAAGGCATGAAGGCATGAATGAAATAGAATTTTCATGAGGCATGAAATAGAATAAAGGCAAGTCAAAGAGAAAAAGATCTTTTATCTATACGAAAATATTTACAAGGACCCATCAGGGTCCCGCACAAAAAATCAAAAAAAGAAAAAGCCTAAGATTCCTAATTTTCCTCAGGGGAAGCTTCTTCTCCATCGAGGTCCTCCCCATTCTCGCACCCGCTCTTGCTTCCATCATTATCATCATCATCATTGGAAGAGGCCAGCGCTCTAGCGTCAGCTTCATGCTCTTTAACCTTTTTTATTTGATATTGACGGCAAAAATCAATGATGACGGGGTCGAGGGAGCCCAACGTGAAAGGGTAAGTGTAAACACTTAGAAACCCTTCCACATGGGTGGTGATGTCTTCTTCGAGGGTCAGGATCACCACCTCTTTGCCCGCCCAGTTGCAGTCTTTCTTTACCTGCATAAGGTATCCCTTAGTTATCGAGCATATATACCTTGACATTGGCTTGCATCGACCAGGAATCGACGAGGCTTTATCGGTCTTGAAATCAGAGTTTAGCGCGGACCCCCCAGGAATGCATTCCTCAAGACGGGGTTCCACCGACATTTTCCCGTCGGCCGGTTGAGAAGATGAAGCAGCTTCTTTTTGTGGTACTGTTTTTGATGTTTTTGCCATTTTTGTGTAAGTTTGAAGAAAAGGAAGATAATAGGACTTGACATTTGAGAAAGGATTAACAGCAAAACCTAAAGATTTGTAAAAGGGAAGAACTTAAGAGTTGTAAAAGCTTAGGAGTTAGAAGGAAGTGAATGTAAAGTTTGAATCTATGAGGAAGGGGTCTATTTATTGGATTCACGGCGATAGTTTAAAGGCACTAGTGGGCGACCACCAACTGACACCCATTAATGACTTGCGGAACTGTACCGATGGGACGTTTTGGTCACTCCCGTCATTTACGTCACGAGGATGACGTCATGATAGGTCGAGGTAGAAAATCAAAGGCTTAATTCGTTTCTTGTCATTTTACTCCAAAAAACGAGGGGACTATCTGTATACGGTTAAAATTGGGCCCACCTGATTTTACTATTTGACCGAGACCGGGAGGTTGCATCGAAGGATGACCTCGTAACGGAACAAACTAAATCACGAGGATAAGGTACAGAGTTCAGAATCGAGGTACCTGTTGAGATCGAGGCTAGTAGCCATCGAAACCAAATGAGGCAGACATCGAGCAAGATCGAAGATAGCACAATAAACAGAAAGGCGAGATATCCGTGACTGGTCGAGGATCATGGCATAAATCTTGGAACGGATCAAATCAGAAATGACTAATTAGCTAATCATGAGATTTCCTTCTGTAATTAGAATTATACCATAAGTGAAATTCCTCTATTATTTAAAGGGGGGTTCTAATCATTTGTAAGACACATTGTTCGCAGATATCAAAGCAATATAATGCTCTTTCTCGTTTATACTATTGTTCATCGGCTTGTCATATTTTAATTGTTCTTACATCAACCAGTTTGAGGGTATCCAAAATTGAGGGCTGAGTTCCATTCTAACACTGGTTTGCTTTACTTTATAGTTCATTTCTGTTATTAATCTTCATATTTATCAATTAGTATTAAGTGAAATCATGTGTCCTTAGAACCACATTATAAGTTTAATTGTTATCCAATTTTAAGGATAAACATACATGAAACCAATCAAAGATGTCATCCATAATAAAAATCAAATTAAAACTATGAAATCATATTTTATTTATCGAAATTTGGAAAGAAAAAAATTGTTGGCAATCTTTGATAAGTTTTGAGTTTATTTACTAATTTTTCATTTTTAGTGAAAGAGGACTGTAAATTGGTCTTAAAGAATAATAGGTTACTGTATTAAATTAAAGAAGAAGCAGCATTGTACCTCTGCCTGAACAACATTTGAGGGCCTACCCTACGAAAGCAAAAGACTCTGCTTCTTCAAACCTCATCATACCAATATTAGAGCAAATTAAAACAAACCTTAATCTCTAAATCTTGGAAGTGTGCCTTTCTGTTGCCGCTGCATGATGATCTTGTGCGAACTTAAACTCTGGAAATACAAAATCATTTTTGCTGAAGAGAATGTCAATCATATTCTTCGAAGCGTGTTTATCGAAATCCATCTCAATGTATATGCAAAGCCCTATAAGAACATGTTACAACTCTTTTCTCTCCACACTACTTATGCGGATCAAAATTAAACGGACCCTTCTATTACTACCGCAACAAACCTTCATTAACGTCTTACTAGTCTTGAATCCCAAGAGTGCATTGATTGCAAAGAATAGCCACTATACATATAACAACAACAACCCATTATAATCCCACTAGTGGGGTCTGCGGAGAGTAGTATGTACGCAGACCTTACCCCTACCTTGGGGTAGAGAGGTTGTTTCCGATAGACCCTCGGCTTTCTCCCTTCAAGAACTCCCCACCTTGCTCTTGGGGTGACTCGAATTCACAACCTCTTAGTTGGAAGTGGAGGGTACTCACCACTAGACCAACCCACTGTACATACAAAACAATATTTGAGGGCCTACCCTATACAAAATTCTTTGCTTGTTCGAATCTCATCAGCAAAATTAAAGCGACTCAGATTGGACAGATCAAAACATATATTAGTATTTCAGTAGTCCACTACGTTATTAGCATGCAACTCCAATAAATTCCCTAGACCATCTCTAAATCGTCCATAAACCTTGGAACGGTGCCTTTCTGCTACAACTATATGATGATTTGTTGCGAACTTAAACTCTGGAAATACCAAACCGTTTTTGCTGAAGAGAGTATCAATCATATTCTTCGAAGCCTCCGGTGTGTTCCAATGTATATGTGAAGCCCGATAATAACATGCTACAACTCCTTCCTCTCCACACTTCTTATGAGGATCAAAATTAAACGGACCATTGTCAGTACTACCACAACAAACCTTCATCAATGTCTTAGTGATAGGCTATATGTATATCCCTGTTATGTTTTGATGATCTAACAAACTTACTGTCAAGAACCAGATAAGGAACCTGTTACACATTCTCAAGACCTTAAGATCAAAAGGTTCCAGCTTGGGATATGGTTCAACTCTTCAGAGTCAAAGGAACAACAGAGGGAATAGATAGCTACCGTTTCCCGAGAAAACTGCACAAGTCAACTGCCCGAGCTGTAAAGTTGCTGCCTGCAAACGCTATAGTACAGAAACAGTGCAGCAGTCAACTTTATGGGGAGTGCCCTTTACCTAACTTTCTTACATCATTCAAGTGATGACACAAATGAGTTATTTACATCAAGCAAAGGTAAAACAAAACACTTGCACATTCAAGAATGAAAAGCAGCATTCTCTCAAGTCTGTGTCAATCTTGGAAGTGATTCTCAAGGGCATCAAGAACAAAGAACAACATAACAAAGGACCAGCTTCTTGTATTGAGTCATCATATGTCCTTAGTTGTATTTCACCTTTGTTAAAGCACTTCAATTGTAATTCCTACTTAGCTTGTTTAGAAGCATTGCGTAGGAAACCCTTTGTAAATCATAAACCCTTGTATTTGTGTCTTGGCTAGAGTTAGTCGAGTTGTAAAGTCTTTGTAATAGAGTTATTAGAAAATGGCTTGTAATATAATGTTACAAGCTAGTGAGGGATTAAGAGGTTACTTCCTAGGTTATATAGGTTGTAATCTGAAAATTGCTCAGTAGTGAAGTTGAAATCCTACAAGGGTAGGTCATGGTTTTTAATCCCGTTGAGCTGGGAATTTTCCACGTAAAATTCCTCCTGTTATTTACTTACTGCAGTGTGCATGGTTTCTGTGGAAACTTATATGTGTGGGAACTAATAGAGAACCTGGTTCTCTATATAGTTTGGTGGATCCTCGAATTCTATCAATTGGTATCAGAGCGGGTTCTTTCTATCAGGCTAACCCCTAGAAAGGATCCTCATGGCTGATCCACCAAACTTTGAAGAATGTCAATCAACTTATTGACCACCACGATTTAATGGACAATACTATGGATGGTGGAAGACAAGGATGCATGATTTTATCATGGCTGAAGATTCATAGCTCTGGGATGTTATCTGCGATGGTCCCTTCGTTCCTATGAGAACCATTGGAGAACCAATAGTGACAGTTCCCAAATCTAGGCATGTCAATCTGCCAAGGAGATCTGGGAGGCACTCCAAATAGCACACGAAGGGACAACTCAAGTCAAGCAGTCGAAGATTGATATGCTAACCACTGAGTATGAACTCTTCAGGATGAAAGACGATGAGTCCATTCAGGACATGCACACTCGCTTCACCTCTATCATCAATGAGCTCTATTCCCTAGGAGAAATCATTCCAAGGAACAAACTTGTCAGGAAAATACTCAGTATATTACCTGGTTCCTGGGAAAGCAAAGTAAATGCTATCACGGAGGCAAAGGATCTACAAAAGCTAAACATTGATGAACTCATTGGTAATTTGAAAACTTATGAAATTAAGAAGAAAAAGGATCATGAGATAAGAGAAACCAAAAGGGAGAAGAACCCAGTCCTTAAGACAGACAACAATGAATCAAGTGGCGAGGATGATGATATGGCTTATTTGACAAAGAGATTTTAGAAAATGGTCCGCAAAAATGGAGGTATTCCGAAGAAGGGCAGCTCCAGCAAGCCAAGAGGATATGACATATGTCATAAGTGCGGGAAGCCAGGGCACTTAATCAAGGATTCCCCTCTCCTCAAGTAAGACCAGTACAAGCACAACATAGAAAAAGCAGCCAAGAAGAACCCGGTTCCAGACAAAAGATTTAAAAGAAAAGAAACTGCTGATAATATTGTGAAACAATCTCTTGCTGCATGGGGAGACTCTTCTAGCGAATCTGGAGAAGATGATGCACAAGGTGACACCTCCATGATGGTAGTAGAAAGTGAAGGAGTTGCTTATGATTCCATTTTTGCCTTGATGGCAAAATCTGATGATGATGAAGACAATGATGATGATGAGGTAAACTTTCTGGACGTTCAAAGAAATTTGAAGTCTTACTCTCAAAAAAAGCTTATATATTTGGCTAATGTTTTAATTGATGCTTATCACAGTCTCATTAATGATAGAAATGCGCTAACCATGGAATGAAGAGAAATAGAATACGAGAGAGATGATCTAGTGGTGGTTGCGGTTGATCTAAGAGAGACCATTGAGAGTTTAAAAAGGGAAAAGGATATTTTGACTGAGAGAAGTGCAAACATAGAGCATGAGAGAGATGACCTATTAGTAGTAGTTGTAGACCTAAAAGAAACAATTGAGGAACTCAGAAGGGAAAGTAGGCCTATGAACACCCAAAAGGGAAAGGAAGTTGCAAGTAAGGCACACCTTATGCTTGAAAATGAGATAAAATAAGTGAAATCTAGTCTGTGTGCCGAACTTGAGAGAAACAAACAATTTCAGGAAGATCTAGGCAGAGTTAAGAATGATCTAGAAAAATCACTCAAGTGAACCTGGTCCTCTGATGCTATCACTGCCTTCTATAAAAACAATGGGGGTAACAGGCAAGTGATAGGGTTCCAAAGGGAGAAGACTCCTTACAACCCTCATAGAAAGTATGTTACTATACCTGATAACTGGCTTTGCACTCACTGTGGTAATACTGGGCACTTTAAGGAAACTTGTAAGGCCAAGTTTCAGTCTCAACAGAAAAACAAAGTTTTTGCTAAAAAGGTAACTACTGTTAGAGAACGTGGTCCCTCATATAAAAGATGCATGATGCCTGCTTGGACAAAAAAGGTCCTGATTCATCCCTTTCTCAATTACAAGGGACCCAAACTTGTTTGGGTTCCTAAGTCTAACCCTTGATTTCCTTTTCTAGGGAGCAGTGAAAGGGAGCAGCCAATAATGGTACATGGATAGTTGTTACTCGAAGCACATGAGTGGGAGCACAAATGATTTCCTTTCACTCAAAGACCTGCAAGGATGGAGTGTATCCTTTGGAAACGGCAAAAAAGGATACATTTTGGGAATTGGAAGAATTGGGAAGTTTCTTTCTCACTCAATTGAAAATGGGTACTACATGAATGGGTGGAAGTACAGCCTGTTAAGTGTCTCCCAAATCTGTGACAAGGGAAACAAGACTGGTGATCTCAGCTATCTAAGTGTTATTGATGATGATGCTGAACTATGGCATAAAAGGCTGGGTCATGCAAGTTTCACGTTGCTGAACAAGTTAGTCAAGAAGGACCTGGTTTGTGGCCTGCCCAACTCAAGCTTCAAGGATCACAAGGTGTGCGATGCAATGTGTTAAGGATGTATATATGTGATCTTTGATGAATCTCACCACTCATGTGGGATGGATTCACATGATAAGATTGATCAAGAGGGAGAATAGTCAATTGTCCCTAGTGAAGTCATTGACATAGCAAATGGAAAAACTGACATGATGAGTCACGTCAAGGATTCAAATGACAATGGCACATCTGAATCTCCAGCTGACATAGAGGAACCTGGTTCCTCAATCACAACAACTGAAGCTGAAAACATAGTTGCTAATGCAGATCAAGGGACCCCATATATAGAGAGAGAATCACATTCATAAATACCTGGACCTTCCCACAATAAGGTTCGGGTGTCTAACTGGAAACACAAAATTTCACATCCTCTGGAAAATGTGATCACTCCTCTTGATTCAGGAATTCAAACCAGATCAAAGGCAAGGTTTTTAGTTCAAGGGTACAATCAGGAAGAAGGGATTGACTATGATGAAACATTTACCCCAGTTTCACGAATGGAGGCAATCAGAATCCTCATTACCTTTGCGTCTCATATGAAATTCAAATTGTTTCAAATGGATGTCAAAAGTGCATTTCTGAATGGCTTTCTAAAATAAGAAGTTTATGTCAAGCAACCTCCTGGATTTGAGAGTCACGAGCATCCTGAGCATGTGTTGAAACTGGACAAGGCATTGTATGGGCTAACGCAGGCTCCCCGGGCTTGGTATGAAAGGTTGTCAAAGTTCCTTCTAGAAAATGGCTTTACAAGAGGGGAAATTGACAACACTCTTTTTCTGAAGAAACGAGGGAGGAACCTACTCATTGTTCAAGTATATGTTGATGATATCTTTTTCGGAGCCACAACCGACTTTCTTTGTGAAGATTTTGCAAAACTCACGAGGAGTGAGTTCGAGATAAGTATGATGGGAGAATTAAATTTCTTTCTGGGACTTGAAGTGAGGTAATCTCAAAAGGTGACATTGATAAGTCAGCAGAAGTACATTAAGGAGCTGCTGAAAAGGTTTGATATGGAAGCATCCAAAGTTATTGACACACCTATTGCCACAACTACTCGTCTAGACATGGATGAACCTGGTTTCCATGTAAATCAGACCATGTATAGAGGGATCATAGGATCACTTTTGTATCTTACAACAAGCAAACTAGATATAGTTTTCAGTGTGGGACTGTGTGCCAGGTTTCAGTCTAATCCCAAGAAATCTCATCTGAAGGCTGCCAAAAGAATCCTAAGGTATCTCAAAGGAACGCAGGACCTAGTTCTCTACTATCCCTCAGGAGATAACCTTGACTTAATAGGGTATGTTAATGCTGACTATGCTACTTATCTGGTGGATAGGAAAAGTACTTCTGGTATGGCACATTTTCTGGGTTCGTGTCTAATCTCACGGGGCACAAGAAAAACAAAACTCAGTGGACCTTTCAACTGCTGAAGCTGAGTATGTGGCAACTGCCTCTTGCTATGCTTCACTGTTCTGGATCAAGCAGCCGCTAGAAAGGTTCGAGACAATGTTGAGAAAGGGCTCATCTGCATGATGTTTTGCAGCATAGAAGATCAAATTACAGATATCGTCACCAAAGCACTGAGCAGAGAGAACTTTGAAAAGAATCGCTTGGCACTAGGGGTGATAAAGTCTAGCCAGGGACCTGGTCCCACGATGATTGGCTATGAAAGAAGTGTATAGGTAAAATAGCTAAAAAGTATTTTCTAGCAAAGTCTAACTTATCTCTATACCATTACATGTAGATATGCATGACGATTACAGAGCAGACAAGTAGCTAATGCATTGCACGATTGGTCAAAGGATGAGGCATACATTTTCAAACTTTGTGAGGGAACTTGGTTCCTTTGACACAGGTTAGTAGCTCCTTTATACTCTCATGCATAATTTTTTAAACGGCTGAAATGGTGCCACGTCATTATATTGTCAGTTTCTTTTTGCTTATTGAATCAAAGTGTCTCACCCTTTATAAAGCGACCCGAATACCCAAAATTGATACCCCAACTGGTCTATATCTCCTCTCAAATAAATCTATTCACAGTCACGTTCAGAACTGTTCATATCACGAATCCAAAATTCCCCTTTTTCCCTTCTTCAACTAAATACACTCGACCATGTATGACAATCAGGAAACACAAAATATTCCAAGTGTCGTCCCCACTATGTCCTCACTTGTTGAAACATTAATACCGGACAGTACTACTGGGGCACCAACTGAGGGACCTGATCCCTCTACCCAAGAGGAGCCAACTCTTGGTTCCTCTTAAGCAACCCAGGTCAGTACTGATCCTACTTCCTCTTCTCACTTCTAAGCTGAGCCTTTGTCTATGGTTGTTCCTGAAATGAGATCGTTATCTGAAAGGGAGAATGAGGACAGTGTAGATGATTATGATAATTTGGCTATTGCTAGTTTTATCAAGGTTAGGAGTAGACAGGCCACTACTCAAGTGCCAACTCCTAAGAGACCTATCACTAGGTTGTAGAAGAAGGAAGAATTTGAGTCAGTTTTAAGGAAAAGAAGAAGAGGAGATTGGTGAAAGATGGAAAGGTTGTAAATGAGAAGGTAGTGCCTCCTGCACTAGTCGTTGATGTTGATGATGAGGTAGAAGAGGAACCTGGTTCCTTGGTTCGTAAGTCTTCATAGAAACTTAATATTCCAAAGTCCAAAAGGGAGTCATCTGTGAGTGAAATGGACTTGAGCAAGGTTGAGGATGAAAAATCTTGTAAAAAGGTAGTTGAGGAATCTGGGGAACAAGTGACAGAAGAATCAGTTGAAAAAGTGTCTACGAAAAGGGTGTCTGGGAAATCTGCTGAGAAAGGAAAGAGTGCTCGCACATCAGTAAAAAGGAAGGGTGATGCTAGTGAGGAACCTGGTTCCTCCAAAAAGACCAAGATTGATGATACCTAGGATGCTAGCAAGGAAAAATTGAAAAATCAAAAGGTGTTGTGGGTCCATACATTTGCCCTTGATATTCTAGATATGGCTGGCATATGCCAATTGGTGGAGATCTGTGAATTTCAACAGTGGACACACCTGTTCAGAGGTGACTGTCCCAAAGTTTATGAGGACGAAGTGCGTAGTCTTTATGCCGACATTTTTACAGTTGAGGATGATCATATTTGTGTGATGGTGAATGGTATTGATCGTGTGATGGACTCTGCTGTGCTGGGAACTATCTTGGGAGTGCCTGCTGAGGGTTTGTCTTCTGTTCAGGGAACTTGCTCTTCGAACTTTAGAAATGCTATCTTGAAGGATAAGGCAGTCCAGCAAGGGGAACGGGTACACAAGAAGGCCCTCCTTCCAGTGTACCAACTTTTGTTTGAATTGGTGAACAAGGTTTTGCTCCCTCGTGTAGAACAAAGGTCCATTATATCTCGGGCATACTTGGTCCTCATGGAAGCACTAGATAGATACAAAACTATCAACATGCCTGGCATCATGATAGAACACATGCAGAAGGTGGCAGAGTTCAAGGATGGTAATCATGGGATGCCTTACGGGTTCCTCCTCACTAAAGATTTTGAGTTCTTCAAAGTCCCTTTGGGAAAATCCAAAGTGGGTACTCGTAAGCAAACCTTCTCTAAGACCACCCTCGAGGAATGTGAGTGCATTGATAAGGTTGGAGGGGTTGGTGGCACTTCTACTATCTCCCAGTTGATCAACGCCCAAAATAGTGCCACTGATAAGATAAGGAAGCTGAAGGCAAGGAATGCCATTCTTGAGGGTCAACTAAGTCAGCTTCAGGAGGCACCTGGTTCTCGCTGCTCTCATAGCACAGAGGTTGCCCGTCTGACCAAAGAAAATGCCGACCTCAGGAAACAAGTTGAGGACCTGAAGGAGAAACTGCTCAATGAGCAGATGTCAGCTAATGCTTGCATGGACATCCTTCTTAAAACCCTTGCCTCTTCATCTAAGCCTTCCCACTCCAGTGCTCCCTAGAACGTGTTCCCTTTCCAGTATCAAATGCTAGTGTATGTCCTTTGTTTTAGTTCTGATGATGTTTATGACTGGTACTTCTGTTTTTGCTGTTTTTATTTTGTGGATGTGTTGGTAACAATGGAACTACTCCCTACTTAATTTCCAAAAATTAATAGAAGTTTCATCCTTTTGCTGTGTACGTCTTGCTCTTTATGCTCTGTTTTTAGTCATGTTGTGTGCACACAAGTGGCATGAATCAACTCAAGCTAGACTTCTTTTTGTTGTAAGCATGTTACTAATCTTTTTATGATGCCAAAAGGGGAGAAACTAATTCAGGGGGAACAGGTTGGGTAACTGATTCAGGGGGAACTCAGGAAATGCTGGTTCTTAGGGGGAACATGAATTATAAGTTTGTCATCATCAAAACGGGGGAAATTGATAGGCTATATGTATATCCCTGTTATGTTTTGATGATCTAACAAACTTACTGTCAAGAACCAGATAAGGAACCTGTTACACATTCTCAAGACCTTAAGATCAAAAGGTTCCAGCTTGGGATATGGTTCAACTCTTCAGAGTCAAAGGAACAACAGAGGGAATAGATAGCTACCGTTTCCCGAGAAAACTACACAAGTCAACTGCCCGAGATGTAAAGTTGCTTCCTACACACGCTACAGTGCAGAAACAGTGCAACAATCAACTTTATGGGGAGTGCCCTTTACCTAACTTGCTTACATCATTCAAGTGATGTCACAAATGAGTTATTTACATCAAGCAAAGGTAAAACAAAACACTTGCACATTCAAGAATGAAAAGCAGCATTCTCTCAAGTCTGTGTCAATCTTGCAAGTGATTCTCAAGGGCATCAAGAACAAATAACAACATAACAAAGGACCAGCTTCTTGTATTGGGTCATCACATGTCCTTAGTTGTGTTGCACCTTTGTTAAAGCACTTCAATTATAATTTCTACTTAGCTTGTTTAGAAGCATTGCGTAAGAAACCCTTTGTAAATCATAAACCCTTGCGTTTCTATCTTGGCTAGAGTTAGTCGATCTGTAAAGTCTTTGTAATAGAGTTATTACAAAATAACTTGTAATAGAGTGTTACAAGATAGTGAGGGATTAAGAGGTTAATTCCTAGGTTACATAGGTTGTAATGTGAAAGTTGTTCAGTAGTGAAGTTGAAATCCTACAAGGGTAGGTCATGGTTTTTAATCCGGTTGAGCTAGAAATTTTCCACGTAAAATTCCTTCTGTCATTTACTTACTACAGTATGCATGGTTTCTGTAGGAACTTATATCTATGGGAACTAATAGAGAACCTAGTTCTCTATATAATTTGGTGGACCCTTGAATTCTATCACTTAGTCTTAAATCCAAAGAATGCATGATTGCATAGAATTGCCATAAACGCCTTGAAATAATCTGCATATATGATCTCAACTTCAGGGTACTTCAATCGTAGCTCCTCCAACGCTTGCCATAGATAATCATTGTGCAATGTTGCAAACAAATTTAGTCCTTTGTGACATTGAATTTTCCTGCTATTATCGGGAAACATCGTTTGAAAACCTGGAAGGCAACCAATTGGAATAATTCTAGAAACCACAAAGTGTTTGGCCTCTGCATCTTTGATCAGTTGTTCGATAGAACTCTTGATTGTCTCCACAATATCAGGGACAAGTTTGGACACTTCGGACATAGATTTTGTATGCAAAAGAGAGTACTTGTAATCCTTATAGAAGAGTTTCATAAAGGCAGAAATCTGCGAGTGATGAGACTGCTGAGGCGCTTGGGATGCCATTCTTTATGAAGGAAAAGGGACTCATAACTGTTTCTCCAGGCGTCATGAAACTAATACCGGACTCAAACTCAACGCCTTCTTCGGTGTAATGTTGTAGAAGGCAGACCAAGCACAACGGCTAAATGATCAGAAGTAGAAGCAGAATCATTGTCTTCGAGGCTGTAAATGGAATAAAACGGGGAAGTTTCAGCCTGCGCGTAAGCGGAAGAAGGAGCAAAAAAGAAAGAGGAGATCACTAATAGAAAGATGAAGAAACAATGGTTGGTAAGGGAAGCCATTGAAAGAGAAGAAACAACGATCAGGGAATTAAAGAAGGCAGGGGAAAACTTAGTTTAGGTTAGTGGTAGTATTTATATATGTCCTTCATCCGTGGAGTTTAAGCAATGTTACAGAAACCTAGTAGTAATAGGAAAAATTCTGACTGAGGCAGATTCCCATATATTCTTTATGTTCTTACTTTTGCTTCAAGTTTCAATTAGAGAAACGCTTGAATTTGCTTGATTAAAAAGGCCTACTATTTAGGTAGGAAGGTTGATGTTTCCATATTCAATTTTGAAGCAGAATTTAAAACTACAAGGTAACTTTATTAAATGCCAAGAATTAGGAAAAGAATTCTGAATGGATTTCATTTAGGGAAACTTTCATAAGTATCACATTTTTAAATAATAGTATATACAGAATCCTAACATCATTAAGTATATATCAAATGAGGCAGTGTATTATTTACATTTGTAGATACCTAAAAGAATTTGGCATCTTCTTAATGTCCGAGAATGTCGCAATTTCATCCCAAAAATCTCTCCTAAAAAATTAGGACTTCACTTTTATCTCCTTAATTCTTGCCATCATCTCCTAAATACATTCATTGCCAACACATCATTCCCCTCCCGCCCATAAATCATGTTTAACTTCTCCTATATTCTTTTCCAATAGCCTCTTAATAAAATGTACAAAATATATTAAGTATATTATACATATATATCCGTCTATTATATGTTCATATATGCATCCATATCTTCCATTTTCACACCCAAACTCAGACACCAAGTATTATACCTGTCACGACCCAAAATCTTCGAAAAGTCGTGATGGCGCCGGACACTATTGTCAGGCAAGCCAACACCAATAATTAGTAAATTCTCATTTTAATATTTTTGAAATCATAGTTATTCCCCTCAATTAAATAGCAGAAGATGTAGTTTACAAAATACGTAATAATATCTTTAAAAAATTTTAATACAGTACAACTCATAATCATCCCAAAATTCGGTGTCACAAGTGCATGAGCATTTACTAAGAATGTAAAATAAAATACAATACTTGTTCGGAATACAATTGGACAGAAAAAATATAAGTATTCTGAAGGAGACTCTATTGACTGTGGAGCGTCGTATAGAATGCAGCTCACCTAAGTCCCCTCCATAATCGCGCACCTGCGCCCACGAGGCCGCTAAACATAGGTGTACCTGCACAAAAATGTGCAGCAAGTGTATCATGAGTACGTAAATCAACGCGTACCCAGTAAGTATCCCACCTAATCTCGAAGAAGTAGTGACGAGGGGTCGACTCAGACACTTACTATGGGCTATAATCAATATACCAATGATATGATAAATTATGGATTTTTATGGTGCAATGGTAAACACTTGAGCTCTTTTGTGAATTGAAACACAGTTGAGCAGCATCTAGAAGCTTCACCCAGTTCTTTTGCGATTCGGTCACAAAGTGCCGGAGATATTCCTCTAGCATGCCATTGAATCACTCCGTCTGGCCATCAGATTGCGGATGAAAACTTGAGCTATGACTCAATTTTGACCCAAGACACTTAAAGAGTTGGGTCCAAAAATTGCTAGTGAAGCGTGAGTCGCGATCACTAACAATGTCTTTAGGTAGGCCCCAATATTTGACGACCTGAGAGAAGAATAGTCGAGCTGTATCTTCTGCTGATATATATTGTGGGGCTGCTATAAAGGTAGCATACTTGGAAAACCGATCCACCACAACCAAGATAGTTGTGAGATCTCCGACCTTGGGCAATCCGGTGATGAAGTCCAGGAAAACGCTTTCCCAAGGTCTTTTTGGGACAGCTAGTGGTTCCAAGAGCCCTGCCTGCGTCAAGCGGTCTGACTTATCCTTCTGGCATACTAGACAAGTCTTCAAATACTGAGCGACGTCATCGACCATTTGGGGCCAATAATATGCACGGTGAAGCAATGCCATGGTGCGTTCCTCGCCGGGATGACCGGCCCACAGAGTATCGTGGCATTTCGCCAGAAGAGCCCGTCGCAGATCTCCTCCTTTAGGAACATAAAGTTGGTTCCCTTTCACCTTCAGGAAACCATCTTCGGTGTAGAACTGGTGAGTCTTGCCCTGTCCTACCAAATCAACCAAATACTGTGCAGCACGATCCTTGATGAGTAGATCATGTATCTGGTCTTTTATGGTGGTGGTTACTTCGATTCCCTTTAGGGCGGCGATTACACACGCCGATGCTAGATCGGCTCTCCGACTGAGTGCATCAGCAACATGATTGGTCTTCCCACTTCGGTACTCTAGGTTGAAGTGAAAATCCGCTAGGAGTTCCTGCCACCTAGCCTGTCGACCATTCAACTTTGGCTGGGTCATGAAATGGCTAACGGCTGTGTTGTCTGTCTTGACCACGAATGGGGCGCCCAGTAGATAATGCCTCCAAAGGCGTAAGCAATGAACGACAGCCAATAATTCTTTCTCATGGGTGGCATAGCGGCGCTCTACATCCTTCAGCTTCCGGCTCTCGTATGCTACGGGATGCCCTTCTTGTAGCAATACTCCACCAAGTGCATAGTCGGAGGCATCCGTTTGCACTTCGAATGGCTTGGCCAAGTCAGGGAGGGCCAAGACCGGGCTACTAGACATAGCCATTTTCAATGCGTCGAAGGCCTCTGCCCCGCTTGGGTCCCCAATCCCACGGTGTGACCTTCTTGAGAAGTTCTGTCAGCGGCACTGCAATGAGGGAGTAACTTTTCACAAAACGCTAATAGAAGTTGCATAGGCCAAGGAATGACCTCAAGGCGTGGATATCCTTAGGAGGCGACCATTCTGTGATGGCCTGAATCTTCTGCTGGTCCATCTTGATCCGCCCTTCCTCGATGACATGTCCGAGGAAGTCAATTTGTTTCTGAGCAAAGGAGTACTTGGATAGCTTTGCATATAATTCGTGCTCCCGTAATCGGGCTAGGACCTTCCGCAAATGCTCCAGGTGTTCTTCCAGTGTCTGGCTATATACCACAATGTCATCCAAATAAACCACGACGAATTCATCAATGTATTCTCGGAAGACTTGGTTCATCAAGGTGCAAAATGTGGCTGGCGCGTTAGTCAAGCCAAAGGGCATAACCAGGAAGTCGTACGACCCATATCTTGTCACACAGGTCGTCTTGTGCTCATCACCATCGNATGTCCGAGGAAGTCAATTTGTTTCTGAGCAAAGGAGCACTTGGATAGCTTCGCATATAATTCGTGCTCCCGCAATCGGGCTAGGACCTTCCGCAAATGCTCCAGGTGTTCTTCCAGTGTCTGGCTATATACCACAATGTCATCCAAATAAACCACGACGAATTCATCAATGTATTCTCGGAAGACTTGGTTCATCAAGGTGCAAAATGTGGCTGGCGCGTTAGTCAAGCCAAAGGGCATAACCAGGAAGTCGTACGACCCGTATCTTGTCACACAGGTAGTCTTATGCTAATCACCCTCTGCAATCCGAACTTGCCAATAACCTATCCTCAAGACTATTTTTGTGAATACCGTCGCACCACCCAATCTATCAAACAAGTCTGTCATTAGCGGAATAGGGTACTTGTTTTTCACGGCGATTTTGTTTAGAGCCCGGTAATCCACGCAGAGTCGTAAACTACCATCATGTTTCTTTTGGAATAGCACAGGGGACCCATATGGGGACTTGGAGGGCACGATGATCCCTGTGTCTAGCATTTCCGTCAATTATCTCCGAAGCTCGGTGAGTTCGGGTTGTGGCATTCTGTACGGCACCCGGGCAGGTGGCTTCGCACCCGGCACCAACTCAATCTCATGGTCCACGATTCGCCTAGGCGTAAGATGCTTTGGCATGTCTTGTGGCATGATGTCTTCAAATTCTAGAAGCAACTCCTTCACGGGTGCAAGAATGGGACTCGAGGAGCGTTCTATATCTTCCATGCAGAGGGTAGCCAGGAACGTGGGTTCATGTTTTTTACCCCCTTCTTCAACTGTAAGGCCGAGATGTTCTCGGCGGCCATCTTCATGGGAATGCACGAAATAATGCAGGGCTTAGCTCCGTTTTCTCCCATCATCAGTAGCAAGTCTGCATACGGTGCGGGCATGGTATTGGTCTGTCTCAGGAATTCCAACCCCACTATCAACTCAAAGTCATCTATAATCACCACGCATAGGTTGAACTTTCCTTCATAAGGGCCAAGTTTCACCGGTACTTCTTTGGCTATTCCACCCACTGGCTGAGGTGGTGAGTTGATGGCCTTGACACGACCTTTGCCCTTTCCTAAAACTAGGCCAAGGCGCTCCACCTGAGTCGAGGCTAAGTAGTTGTGGGTAGCACCCGTGTCTATCATCGCCCGAATGGGCTTGCCATTTACCTTCATGTCAAAGAACATTAAGGTCCTCTCTTGATGAGGAGGAGTCCTTTAGTTCGCCTTCTTTTTCCCTTTCTTGGCGATTAGACAGGGGTCCTTCTTCTTACGGATACCAGCACTGGTTCCCGCTAGGGGCTTAGAATTAGAGCCAACAATGGCATTGAATGCACCAACTGGTTCGGTCTAGTCTACATCATCGGCATCGTCATCCGTCCCATCCTCAAAAGCTTGATGGGCATTCATCTGTGCATGTAGGCATTCATTGTTCCAATGTGGTCCGCCGCAATGACGGCATCCTGAGGGGGGTTTCCTCCCCCGATCATTGTTGTTAGATGCAGCACTAGTACTGCTTAAGGGGGGGAGCCTTAGATTTGG